CATCCCATCCTGAGTCCCCAAGGAAGAACAAAGGAAAGGGAAGAAGTCAGAGAGAACAGGAAAAGGACAGATGTGGGAGGCTGAACAGACAGCAGGAGGGGTGGGAGAGGGAGGGGGCAGAAAAGATTTTTAACCCTCCTAGAAATGGAAAGCAACCAAACCCACAGGCAACCAAGATCCAATCAAGTATCATGAGCTGAAGGGTAAAGAGTGGTTACAAGCTCGACTCCACGTTTCAACCCCAGGGTTTAAGTCCTAGCCCTGCCACTTAGTAGTTACAGAACTTGGGCAAGAGGGCTCACCCTCTCTGTGCCTGTTTCGTCATCTGTAAAATGGGTACTTGTAATAATAACAATAGTGCCTGCACCTCATACGGCCCACATGATTCAACGGAACAATGTGTGCAAGGCGCCCAGCACAGTGCCTGCACATAGCAAGTGCTCAGTGAATACTATGGAAAGAGTTCTGTAAACACTGAAAAAAAGAAGTGTTCTACAGATGTTTGTTATTAATGGAGGCGCTGAGACCCAGGGACAACCCAGGGAAGGGCTGGAATGAGAGGGAATCCGGGAGGAAAGTTTTTCAACATCTCTGACCTTGGAACAAGGGTCCAGGGAAAGCTTTAGAGAGTCAGCACACTCCATGCAGGATGACTAAGGGGAGGAAGAGGGTTGCTCAGCACCTCAGCGGTAACTCTGGCCTTCCATCGGCCCCTCCAACCTCACCAATGCAAGGCCATCACTGGGGAAGCTGGAAGAAGGAAGGCTGAGATGTTCCCTCGGAAGACCTCAAACCCATAATGGTGCAACTACAGCCTCTAGCAGCCCAAACCTTCCCACACTGAACTGTGGCTGCCCAGGCAGCAGACAGCTTGGCACAGCACAGCGGATAGGGCACCTGCTAAGAATCAGACACACCAGGGTTTGAATCCCAGCTCTGCCCCTCACTAGCGTACATCCCAGGAGACTCTGGTGCTGACACAGAGCCCACTAGGAGCACACATTGCTCCAGAAGTGCCTCTGCCACAGGCCCAGCAGCTGGGTGCCCTGACCCTGGCCCAATACACAGAGACACCACAGACAGGCAAACCCAAAGTCCAGCCTTTCCATGGAAACAGGGAGGCTCCGTAGCCCAGAATGCCCCAGGCAACTCCCCTGCCCCCCCCCAGTACCCCCCGAAAGACAATGAAGCACTGTTTTCCAGAGGGTCAAGACTGCTGAGAAGATGAAAGAGGACATGTCCAGATTCCAGCGGCGACTGGGCATTGCCAACAGCTGGCTGTTTCCCCTGGGAGAGATGGGGAAGGCAAAGCTATCAAGGCCTGAAGTGGACCCATCCGCTGCCATGGAGGCCATTCCCAGGGCAGAAACTTTAAAGGTAACTAGGAATTATTCAGCAGGCCCCCTGGCTCATCCCCCTGGTTAGTCACTAATCACTTACTACCTTATGACAATTAAGATGACCAGATCTGGAATTAGATCAGTCTGGGTTCCAATCCCAGCTCCCCCAGCGAACTTCCCAGAGCTCAGGTTTCTGCAACTATAAAGCAGAGATACAACACCTCCCTCTCGGAATGACCATGATGAAACGCGTAAAGCGCTGAGTGCAGCGCCTGTCTCCCATCAAGCAGGAGTGATCATTATTGGACCACAGCTATGGTCACAGCCCCCCCCCCCCCAAGCACACTAAGAACTGGAACAAGGGGAGAGCAAGGAGCTGGGTCAGAAAACGTAATCAGAGTGTATCTCAGTGTTGTGGGAACTCTGTCCAGGAAACTCCGGCCAGAACTCGAACAGGGCAAACTCCCAGCCAAACCATCGTCTAAACAGTAATGAGAAAAGCCACCAGCAGCCACCCCACAGCACAAAGCAGAGAGAACACACAGGGAAGGGCTGTGTTTATGTTCTTCTGCCCAAAGAGCTATAAATTTGTAACGTATTAAATAGCACATGGTGAGTCTGTTCCTAGCTTTGGGAAGGGAAGAGTTCCCCAATTTTTTTTAGACCAAAAAACAAAGTCACAGCAGAGACTCTTGCCCCCTCTGGCCTTGCCACAGGACAGACTGTAAGCTCTCTCCCGTTTCAGGGACCGGGAGGCTCACAGCTGAGCGCACTCTCAGGAGAAAAATAAAAACAAGACGCCTGGCCTTTGTGTCTGCCCTAACTAAGGAAAACAGCTGACGGGCACGGTGCTGAGCAGTCAGCCAGACAGCTGATGGGGCCTGGGCACGGAGGCAAATTCCTCTCCCCTCCTGCACGCCCCGTTCCTCCCACCCCAGGCTCGGTCAGCCAGGCCAGTCAGGCGTGGCTGGCCCCCTGGGAGCTTAGGCCAAGGAAGTCAGGCAGCCAGGATCCAAACAACTGGGGAGCCTGTGGTAGAAGGCAGCAGAAGTTACAGGTGGCAGCCATCACCCTGCTGCGACCCCTCCTTCACATGCGGCTTGCCCCTTTGTCAGGCAGAAAGGCCTCTTGGTACACAAGACCTGCAGATCCAGGAGCTAGGGATGGGGCTTCTACTCGTGGTTTTGTCATTTCGTGGCTGTGCAGCCTTGGGCAAGTGAACCAACCTCTCTTAGTCTCAGCTTTCTTAATTTGTAAAAGGAGCGTAGTAAATGACAGCAGTGGCCCTAAGGGGCTCTTATAAAGGGTTGCTGTGAGAACTGGACAAGTTGAGGTATTGGGGAAGTATTCCATAAACAGCAAATTTCAAGTCCTACAGTCCCCTCTGCCAGTACACTCTCTTTCCTTTCAGAGACTAACTCCATTTCCTGGCCCTAAATGGAAGATTGTCAGGAGACAGGAATTCAGGACTTCAACTGCAAACTCTACAAAGACTTTCTCAGTTCTTCAAACAGCACAGGGACTGTGCAGAAGCAACAGAACCGCATCAGCATTTTAGAAACTGTAACTCTGCTCCTCCGTTCCCACTGGGAAAGCCTTGAGACTTTCAGATCCTGGTTTTAAAAATAACCCCCAACCCCCTCTAAAGCTTAGTTATTTTTATGTGAAAAAAAATACCTGCCTGGAAGCCATGCCAACCTTAAATGTGTTGGAAAATGGGTGCCAAGCCTGACCCAAAGGTAGAACTATGCTTGGCAGCCATCGCACTCTGCAAAATAGGCAGAACTGTATACCATCCCCAGCTTCAGGATCGCTTGGGGGTGGGGGGCTGATCCCAGAAGGAAGCTGCCAGGAAGCAGTAAAATCCCAGTCCTCCTCCCTGTCCCCTTGGCAGTCCAGTGCCTACAAATAGCCAGTCTTAACTTAGTGCCCTGTGCGCTTGGGGGAGGCCGGTCAGTTCAGTCTGATGAATCCCCTCCTCAGAGCCTGGGACAGAGAAAGCATCAATGGTGACACAAGCCATCCACAGTCCAGAGGAGGAAGACAAGGCTCCCACAGAGAAGAAACGTTTCCCCCCTCTTCACTTCCCCAGCTCAGAGGCCCTCCAGTTACAGGCGTGAAAGGGGAGGGCGTGAGAGTGAATCCTCCCACTCCAGGGTTCATGCCACTCAAGGCATTCCTAGAACCCTGGCACCAACCCCCTTGGGCTGAGTGTCTGGTTCCAGCAGACACTTTCCCCTGCCCTAACACCAAATCAAGACCGGGCTGAAAGGAGTAGTTTTGGAGCTCCAATAACATGAAAACAGTAAAACTCTGTTCTGGGCATCCTGTCCTCCTTTCCTGCGTGGCTTCCAGCAGGGTCTGATGCTAGAGGGGGTGGGGGGAATCTGCCAGCCAGGACAAGTTCAAGATGGCCATACCTTGGGGCCCACTTCCCTCCTTATTCCCCTGGCATTTTACCAGAGTCTGGGAGTGGGGAAAGAATCAGTCTCCCCTAGGCTACTCTTCTAGGATTAGGCTGGTCTATGATATGAAAGGGGAGGGGCTGGCCCACAGAGGGGAGAGGGGAGAGGGCAGTCAGTGAAATGGAGTGACCGGTCCATGAAACAGGGTGACCAGACCTGAAGTGGGGGGGGTTAGTGGGGCACATGGGAAACTTGCCTATGTATGAGGTGTGGTCATCACCTCATCTCTAACTTGTGAGTCTGGCTAGTGACTTGAAAGGGGTGGGCTCGGAGGGGCTATACCTGAAGTGGGAGCGGTCCTCGAGGGGGTGGGAGCAGGTCCTGGAATTGAGGGACCAGCCTGTGAGATTAAGCAGCTGTTCCCCTAATTGGGCAGTTCCTCTGTGAGGTGGGGGTGGGGGGAGCGGTCTGTGAAGTGAGGGTCCCATAGCAAGTAGGGAGGTGGTCTGGTCCAAGCAGTGGGGGTCCCGCCCCCGAAGCGGACAGAGCGGGTCCCTGAGGTGCAAGCTGGTGCCTAGGGTTGGTCTGGGAGATGGGGGTGGGTCCCCAAGCTCGGGAGTCTGGAAGTGGGGCCGTCCCCAAGGCGAGGGGGTGGCGGCTGTGAGGACCGCAGCAGGGCCGGCCTGACCCAGGACTCAGGCCCAGCTTGGGATCCCGGCCCCGCGGAACCCCAGCCAGCAAGGACCGGTGCGGGGACCCGGGCCACCGAGGGTGGGATCCCGCAGCCCCCACCGCTCGCTCGCGCCCGCCCGGCCTGGGGCCGCGCGCCCCTCGCTGCCTCCTCCCTCGGCCCCCCGCTCACTCACCGAGGTCGTCCATGGCGGGGCCGCGGGCGCCGGGAACCGGCTTGGCGTCGCGCTCGCTGCCCGTCCCGGGGCCGCTCCTCTCCGCCCCGCAACTTTTCCGCCGTGAGCCTTGGCCCGGAACGCAACGCGCCGCCGCCGCGCGCGCCCGC